GAACTGTTCATTTACACAGTATTTCAGAAATATTTGAAATAGATTTATGTTTAGTCATCCTTCAAACTGAAGGAAGACTGCAAAGTCTTCAAGTGTCAAGTTGCTGGCCACTAAGAGATACTCCTTAGCATTAAGGTATAATCCGCAAATCAGCCAGCCTGTGTAGTAATTGGAGCAGACCTTGCTTTAATTGACACTGAGCTTTCCGACTCTCTGAGCAATGTAATTGTACCTTTTAAAAGTATGATGAACCTTTCCCTTAAAAGTAGCTTTTGCAATTTAACAAATCCATAACTGCAGCAGCAAAATGTTTGCTCCTAGATAAGGCACTTGTGCAGTATTGGTAATTAGTTTGACCTGGCCAGATGCCTCCTGATAAGGCACAGCAGAGAGCTGTCATCTGGTATGCTGAAGAATTTAATTCTCTTAAATTGTGACACAGCATGTACGTAATAGTAAGTCAAAAATTACCAGTTGTATTGGATTGAGTCCAGTGGTGCACCACAGTCTTGTTTAGTCCTTACCGTTGTCAAGTACTAAAAGAAGAGAAGAAATCGTCGTTCTAGTTATGCTGACGCATGTTTTAGCAGGAATTTTATTCCTCTTTCAATTGCTTTCTTCCTAATTCCTCCTCACGGGATATTGCGCAACCTCAGTCCTCTGTGTATGTTTTCACATCACTGCAACCCCCTGCCTTTCCCTCAGTTGACATCCTTCCCCCTTCTCTATCAGCCTTTACTATCAAAATCCTCTCTCCTTTTCCTTACAGTTAAAGTACCACCATCTCAAGCCTGACCTCTCTTCTACAAAACCCATCATAAACCATTTAAAAACCTTCCCACAAAGCAGCATGACCCAACCCTTTCATCTCCTCGAAACCAGGTATCGATTTGGGAACCTTTCTTGCAGACCTGTCCTTGCTGCTTGCCCGAAGTGCTTCTCAGAAACGGGGCTGGCAAATACAAGCCACTGGGCACGAGGCTTCATGTACCTTCTTCCTTTCCCACAAGGCCAGAGAAGAAGAGTTGCCCAGGACAACTTATTTGCTGTCAGTTGGACCATGCTGCATCTAAAGTGGTTTTTTTATTGTCTGGTGGTGTCTTTCATCTGAGAAACTGTTACCTGTGATCCCAAACTCCTGGTGTGAGCTGTTTTTATGGCTACCCCAGTGTTGTATCTGGCTTAAGCCCTCCTGTGAGCCTGTTTTAAAAATCATTAAGCTACTGGTGGCATGTATAGATGTCACCTTGATTTTTAATCGTAAGGGTTACTGGATTGTCCTACGCATGTATTCTTGAGGAGGAATTAGGACTTTTAAAACAGAAGGACCTGGGCAGATGGGCAGCTTGTTCTTGCCCGGATTGGTGGCCAGCAAAGCCGGGAGGGCCCCGGCCACATGGGCAAAGCACAGAGCTCTTGGCACTCCTGCGGAGGAGTGTGGACAGGGGATGGGGAAGAGTGTTTGCTTTGTGGTTTCAGGGTAAGTCACGTTGAGTTCTGGAGGCAGATTCTTGCTGAAAAAGGGTTTAAAAGCCTGTGACAAAAGAAGTTAAGATATGTGCAAGATGGGAGATGAAACAGAAATAGGAAGCAATTAGAAAAGCAGGGGAAGGAGAACTCAGTGCTAAGTAACCAATCAGGTTTTATGCTGGCTGTAAATTAACAGAGATTGTATCTCTTGGATCTAAACAGAAAACAAAGCCTGGTTCCTCCCACTTGCTTTATGCATCCGAGATGCCTCCACCAAGAGAATCATTTTAGGTGCCCGTATGGCACCTTAGAGGAGAGGAACAAGTCTCCTCTCTCACGGAGGAGAGAAGAAAGTAAGATTTCTAAGATTAGAATCACACCTCTGAAAAGGGGGTTTCTCTCTCTCTCTCGTTGGTTAAACAGTCAATTGATCAAGTGAGGAGAAATCCAGGCCACAATCTTGTTTGGTTCTTGAATGCTCATTAATTGCAACAAAGTAATTTAAACTTTATTAGAGTGAGATAAGGTAGGGTGTTTGGCATACTTTTTCATTCCTTGAGGTATTTGCTTGTGTCACGTTGAAGCCCCCCTAACACCGGACTGATGGGATGCCAGCTGAGGTTTTCTGCAACGCAGTAATCACAGATCATTTTTTAGTCTCATGTGCATGAGGAGATGGACTTGCAATTGTGTAATGATGGCAAATGAGCAATTAGAATTAAAAACAGTTAAGACTGAATTTGCCATTCCTAAAGGCTGGTGGTTTTGCAGCAGAAATTTAATTTGGCTTATCTGATCCTGATTTTCAGCTGCCCTGAGTTCTGGCAGACCAGCTGTGTTTAGTCAACTGCTAGCTGGTTTAGGGAGGAATTACCATGTTAAAAGCAACATTTGTTTGTAGTGCTGGCAAGGCTTCCATTCCTCCTGTCTTCACACAGTAAATTTATGTTCTTCACCATGAAACGACTAAACCGTGGGTTTTGAGTTGAACTTTTTTCAATTGCAAAGCCTAAATAAACAAATAAAGGATGAGAGAAAGGGATCCTACTGAATGTCAGTGCTACTTTCCTCTATGCTTTATAACGGGTAGAAGAGAAGCTTGGATGTAACTGATGATGAAAAATATTAAATGGTTGCGTGTTCTTTTAATGCTTGGAAAGATTGTGAAGAAAATCCTCAGATTGATTTTACAAGTTACAGTCTGCCATCTTAGAAGTTGATTATGTGTAAATGTCATTATAGAAGGGTCTTATAAAGTATTCAGGCTGTATTAAGATAATGAAGATTTGTTCCTTAATCAAATTTTGGCTTCCATCTGGAAGAAATTAAAAATCCAAACCATACATCATTTCATTCCTTAAAAATGTCTCATACCTGCTTTACTGTCCTTGCGTGTGTCTTGGATGTGAACATGTAGCTGGGCCACGGGGTGATGGAGCACCGGCTGCAGGGGTCCCCCATCCATGTCAGCTGCAATGGAGAGGGTTCCCTGCCATGCTGATCCTGGATCTCTGCCTTTCTCCACTGACTCTGAAGGTCTAGTGCTAAAGGGATTTATTTTTTTCCTCTCCCAATGTCAAGATTCTGCACAATATAGCATCTAAGCTGTGTACGTCTGTCCTTTACGCAGATTCACAGAACAGTAGGGGTTGGAAGGGACCTCTGAAGATCATCTGGTCCAACTCCCCTGGCTAGAGCAGGATCACCCAGAGCAGGTGGCACAGGATGGTGTCCAGGCAGGTTTGGAATCTCTCCAGAGAAGGAGACTCCACAACCTCTCTGGGCAGCCTGTCCCAGTGCTTGGTCACCCTCACAGTGAACAAGTTTTTCCTTATATTGAGATGGAACTTCCTGTGGTCCAATTTATGCCCGTTACCCCTTGTCCTGTCACTGGGCACCGTTGAGAAGAGTCTGGCCCCTTCCTCTAGACACCCACCCTTTAGATGTTTATAAGCGTTAATCAGATCACTTCTCAGTCTTCTCTTCTCCAGGCTAAATAGACCCAGCTCTCTCAGCCTTTCCCTATACAAGAGATGCTCCAGTCCCCTCATCATCCTTGTAGCCCTCAGAACTGGACACAGTACTCCAGATGTGGCCTCACCAGGGCAGAGCAGAGGGGGAGGAGAACCTCCCTCAACCTGCTGGCCATGCTCTTCTTAATGCACCCCAGGACATCATTGGCCTTCTTGGCCACGAGGGCACACTGCTGCTCATGGAGAGCTTGATGTGCACCAGGACTCCCAGGTCCTTCTCCGCAGCGCTACTTCCCAGCAGGTCAAGCCCTGACCTGTACTGGTGTCTGGGGTTATTCCTCCCCGGGTGCAGGACCCTGCAACTTGCCCTTATGGAATTTCATTTGATTCCTCCTTGCCCAACTCTCCAGCCTGTCCAGATCTCGCTGATTGGCAGCGCAGCCTTCTGGTACATCAGCCACTCCTCCCAATTTTGTATCATCAGCAAATTTGCTGAGGGCACACTCTGTCCCCTCGTCCAGGTCACTGATGAACATGTTGAACAAGACCGGAGCAAGCGCTGACCTTTGGGGCACACCACTAGATACAGGCCTTTGTGGCCTGCCATCCTAATGTGTCTTCATACAGGCTGTGGTCCTGTAAAAGCACTGGCTGCGATTGCTATTGTGTCTCTGTGTTGGTGAAATAATGTTTAGAGAAGAGTCCAGTACATATTCCCTGGTGGTACTGTGTTATACAAGTATGCAATAAATGATAGTTTCTGCTCCAAAGAGCTTGCAATTAATAGTTGGATAAAATGGGTTTGAGAATTGTTCTCACCTGGTGAGATTAAGCATTAAGCTTTTGAGCGATACTAACAAATTTTTTGTTTTGTTAGGGAAACATATCCTTTATTGAAAAGGATATATTCTCTCTGAAAATAACCTTTATTTTCAGGTTTGGAATTTAAAAAAAAATATAAGCATGGAATTCAGAGTTCAGTGAATTTGTGACCATTTTAATTCTACATTTTGTTCTAATCTAGTTTTAATATGCTAAGAGACATAGTTTCTTTCCTTTCTGTTTTTCAGGCCACAAGATTGATTGTCAGAAAGCTATTGGAAAAAACGCAGCTTAAATTTTCTTGCTGTACTAGCCCAAGTCATTCTGTCCTCCCTGGTATTTGCCCTGGTGCCAGTTGCATGGGTCACCACGGAAGGTTAATATTTTGCCAACGGCAGTTGTGCTCTGGGTTTATGGTGCAGCTATAAGACAATACCTAGTGAATGCTGGCTGCCTGCAGCCCACAGCACAATGCTAGCTCACGTTAGTATCCCCGTATGTTCTCTCTACTCATTCATGCACTCTCATTGTTGTAAAGCCTTCCTTCTTTTTCTTCCTCCTGGCTGCCACAAGGCAATTTGGGGTTATTATCATGGTGTTGGAGCAAAGAGTCTTACCTAGCATGTACCTATTTCTTTTACAACAGATGGCGTACAAATATGAACATTAGTTCCACTGCCTCTGCATCTGAATTACTTTTTTTCCCTTTTCCTAGGTGCAGTGTAACAAAAAACAATGTTTTCCCGACTACGAGTAGCTGCCACTCCCTGTGCGATGGCATGTCGCAGCGCACATACGAAAGAAAAAGGCAAGCCACTGATGTTAAACCCACGAACAAACAAGGTTGGTAGTACCTGATTATCAAATCTCTTATCTTCATCTGGTAATCATCCAATGGACCTTGTTCTGGGATTAAACCACCTCCAGGAGGTGGACTGGGTCACAGCCAAAAAAGGGTACAGAAGATGGAGGAGTCAGTGATCATTTTAAGTTTACTACGTGGACACCTATGGTACAAGGACTTCTGATAACACCTTCTGCTTCTGTCAGCTTGCCCTTCCCCTGGTTTGCTATGGTTTATACAATTAATACTGCTGTTTCCTTGTGCCAAATGAAGAGTTGCTGATTCTTGCTGTTTACTGGCTTAGTTTTTCGGCTGGTTGAATTGAAGTAAAGCTTTAGCAGATAAAAAGTCTTATTTCATAGTTTGCAAAAGTTAATTCTGAATTCAATCTTGCTGGTGATGGAAAGTGTTAGCCTGTGTGTCCTGGCTTTTTCCTGCAAGAATGTGAATTGGGACCGAGCCATATCAGTAAGAAACATCCCTGTGTAGAGAGTCAGACAGAGAGCATCTAAAAATAAGCCTTGAATGGAGCTAGCTGGGAGGTAGAGACAATATGTTAATTCCATGCATTGGGAGGAACTTCTCCTAACGTTTTTTTTTTTTTTTTTTTAACCTTCACAAAAATTTTCCTATTGCCACAACCCCATCCCCAATCTCTCTTCCCCTTCCCCCCCGCCCCCCCAGAGGAGGAGGAGTAGCCTTCAGGAATATTGAAACAATTAATACATAAACTAAAACAAGTAAGAAATGAGATGAGGGCTTTTGGTAGCTGATCCAAGATGTCTAAAGTGGCCAAGAAAGGTGACAAATCTAGCCACCTCTGACAGGGCATGTCCTGAGCAACGGACCTATGGAAGCAGGACTTCCATAGTTTTATCCTATGTTTTTAATGTCTGTTTTTTCTCCTCTTTCCCGTTCTCTGATTTTATTTTTTTCTCCCTTCTGTAATGCCTTTTATTTCCCTTTCACTGTATATTTCCTTCTCTTCCTTTTCTGCCTGTGGCTCTGACTCCTCCCCTCCCTCTGTATTCTTAGCTCTTTCCCGTGTCCCCTGCCACTTCCTAGATGCAGAGAAACACGTGCTGCTATGAATTGGCCAGCTGGCAAGCCAGACGCATAACCCCGAGCCTTTCTCTCAGCAGAAGGGCTAGACTGGCTCTTTCCTCTGCACAGCAAAATCTTTTTTTTTTTTTTTTTTTTTTTTTGTCCCTCTCTTTCTGTCAGAATTAGAAGTTGGCCAGTGGGCTCAAAACATCTGGGGAGGATATCAAGCTAGGAACTGGAAACTGCATCTTCTTGTGTCCTGTCCATAACTACAGGGAGAATTGCTCATGTTTCTTTTGGCAAAAGTGATTCCTGAGTGTCCTGAAAAGAAAGAAAGAAGACAAAATGTAGACCTGTCCTCATGTTTCTTATTGTTTCTTATACAGTGTAGTGTAGTACGAGATGCCTTGATACTGCATGAATGCATGTTGTGTATATAGAGCGAGCTGTAAAAGTTAGAGGCTGGCTGTGAAAATAAAACTGGGATTGCGATGTTGGGAAGGGAGAAAAGAATGGATTGGTGTGATTTGTCAAGATCAGATTATCTCGAGACTTTTTTTGAGCTCTAAACACTTTGACATACCAGTGGAAATTAATTCAAGCCCTGTAAGCTTTTCCAAGTGCTGGTTATGCAACAGTGTTCAGAAACAAAAACAATAGGTCATTTCTTATTGTTTTTCTAGTGGTAATATCTTTTTAATTTTTTTTAAGCCTGCAGTTCTCTGGTGGGCTGAGCACAATGCACTTTTTTAATGGATTTTTTTGAGGAGGAGGAGGAGAGAAGAGCAGGGAGCTGCTTATTAATAGCAGTTGACTTTTTTTAATTTTTGAATGTTGTCAAGAAATGATACATGTGAGAGGGAAAAAAAACTTTCCACATTTGTTCAGCTCTGTCATTAAGGCTGGCACCTGTTTGAATGGTTCTGTGAGCTAGTTAAATGATACTGCTTGATGCTGGATGCAGTATCTGTATAGAAATATATTTTGAAAATTCAGCAGAGAAATAAATGATTGACTAAATACACAAAGTACTTTACCCTTTATGCTTTTCTTGCCCGCTGTGCCTCATGTACATATATATATATATATGTCTCATATAAATACAGGCACAGATAAAGGGCTTTATCTCTTGCTGGCAGCTTGAGATTGTCATTTTATGACTTGCGGTTTAGTTGCTGTTGTTTAGTTTTTACAGTCCCTATCAAGTCTACAGAACATTTGGTCTCCTCTAATAGACGTGGGCCCTAAAATAAACTGCGAGATGGCAGGATCACTAACAGAGAACCACCCCTTCCTCTTGTGCAAATTAATCCACTCCTGTTCTTTGTCATTAGAGTAGGTTTTTTTCTCACTATTTGGTTTTTGGGTTTTTTTCCTTCCCATCCTTACCTGTTTTTTGCAGGTGCACACTACACCTGCATCAACTGGTTTAGGTTTTTCTGTTTCAAGACCAGTTTTCAAGAGGGTTTTTTTTTGTCAGGGCAGCTCAGAAAAGGTCACAAGCTATATCAGTAATGCCCTTGCTGTCGCAGCCAAACAATTGCAGAACACACTGTAACTGCATTGCTGGCATCCATGTATACTGAGGATCTTCCATGATGTTTGATTTCTGCTCTGTGACAGGGATTCAAATTACAGTTAATTGGCTTCAGGACCTTTTATTCTACTGGAGATCCCTGCTGTGCCAAGGCAGCATTTTAAGCTTGTTGGGTGCTTAGAATGCTGTTAGGACAATTTCATTTGTTTAGTACTGGCAAATAAATTGTTATTTTTGTTGTGCTACTCCTTCAGATTCTCACTCAAGGGCCAGGATTTCTTCTTCCAGCACAGAACAGATGATGCATGAGTAGATGATCCCTGACCTTGCCGATGTCCATTCTGCCATGTAGAGTGGCATCACTTTATGTGATGTCATGTCTTTATCTTCACTGGAAATCTGTGGCCTGTAACATTATTCATATGTTTGCATTCTATGTGCTTGCAGCAAATCTGTGACTCTGAATAATTTGTGACACTTCCTGTATTTTAGTTGGTGATTTTTCTACCTCATGGCATCAGTTCTTGTTACTCTCTAAATGCGTGACTCTATTTTGTACAGTTGATTCCATCACCCCTTTTTCTATTACTCTGTTCCTCAGTATTGTTTGGTTTTTTCATTCTTTAATACCGTTTTCCTGTTCTGACAATGCCTCCCAAATTTTTAGCTTCAGCCAATACCTTTGGGACATTGCATTAAACACACACATGCACACACACATATTGTACGGATGTATGTGCCTGGGTGCACGTGTGTGGGAATACATGATACATTTTAAAAAAGAATTCACTGGCGGTGTCATAAGTGGCAGTTTAATCCCAGACTGATTCCTGAGGAACTGTCCCAGTGTCTACCTTCCACGTGGGCTCTCATCTTCTCATACCTTGTATTTAGCTAGATCATTAATCACAGTTTCATCTGTATTCATTCCCAGCTTTTTCAGCCCAATTTATTTTCATCTATGCCTTACTGAATATTTCCAAAAACTCTGATAGATTACCTTTGTTTAAAGAATCAGTTTCACAACAAAGATGTACCTGACCTCACTGACTTCTGGCAAATATCCAAACAGTGTGTTTCCAATTCAGAATAACGAAGAAACAAAACTCAACCCAAAGTTAAAGCTATCTGGACAAAATAAATATGATAAGAGAATGTGAAGAAAGATTGTATGGATTTTAAAATTTAAAAGAAGATGCCCCTTCCCCTGCCCTTTTTCACCCTGTTGGTTTTTGACACATTTGATTTGTTGTAATATTTTTTAGACTGTGTCAGTTGGGTTGAGCAGCCAGGGTGTAGACTACGCAATGCCCCTGCCTTCCTGGGGAAACCAGGATAAACAGGATGGGGAGATGTCCTGCAAATGGTAATTGTCATGTCACTAAGAAACGCAGTGCTTGGAATACTACCAGCAGTTTCTGATCAGTCACGAAGAAGGATCCTAGAAGGCAGGAAACTGATAGTTCCCTTGCACACAGACACACGTCCAACCCAAAAATCCCACCGCAAGTTTTGTGTGCTGCCCAACTGGTTTGGAGATGGGGAGGGATTGTTGGGTGGAGGTTGCGTGGCCGTGCTTCTGCAGCTTTTATCAGCTTCCTTGAGATCTGTATGCTTTTAAAGGGAATGAAATCTGGAAAGATGGAACTGTTTAATCTGTAACCAGCTTTTATCATCTGTCTGAAAAGGTGCTGTAAGTGCCAAAGGTGGTAAGTAGTATTACACCTCATTTGACTTAGATCAGCTATTCTGCTCAGGACTTGTGAGCTGCATGGAAGGTGGGTGGAGGAAGGAAGGAACCTGTCCTGGTTTTTAATTTTTTCGGTTTCTTTTTTTTTTTTTATGGTAGGATTAATGTCATTAAAGGAGAATAAAAGCATTGGTATCTTCTCAGTTAGAAAAACAGCAGTTTAATGAAATGTTTCTGAGGTGTTCGGTGATGCTGTACGGTGTAGATGAACAATTTCAGTCATGCTCGTGATTTGCAATGAACAGCTTTACCATAAGCGTTGGCGTTTGGAAGAAAACCCTAGAGAGGCTGGATGGCCTTCTTGCTGGTGTGTAAAGGCTTTCTGTTTCTAACTTTTTCCCATTTTCTGCAGGGGAATGCTTTTAGTTGAAGCCACATTATTAGTAAATGAGAGCTACTGTGGGTTAGCTAATGCTGGTGCAGCAGCCAAAGTGATTTACATCTGGTTCCACACATACCGAGGTGGTGCAAGAACTGATGGCATCTTTGCTTGCAGAGAGACTGAGGTCTTTGAAGATTTAAT